CAAAACCAGTCTCTGGATCCGGGCCTGCACTTCCCTGCAAAATGAGCCTTTGTGCGATTAAAAATCTTAAAAAGTAATAAAATTATCGTCAAAAAAATAAACACGTGTATAGTTGATAATTTTAAGAAAATTTAGGTCAAACAAAAATTTTGAAGCATTTATATCTTTATTGTATATATATACGTATTTAGTATGTGTATATTCGAATAAACCAGTACTATATTATAATACACACTATACTACACTACTACTACACTCTACACTCTACACTACACACTACACTAGTTTTCGAAATATTTGAAAAAAAAACGAAATTTTGGAAATCCGTTTTTGTTTCATTTAAGCTTTGTTCGAGGTGATTTGAAAAAAGAAGAACACTTTCTCATGGCTACTTTTTGCCCTCTATCGAATGGTATAATCAATTTTTATATGTAACGTTTCGTCTCTCCAGGACAATCATCAACTTAATTTTTTTAAATACGACCCTGGAAATTTTATAACATTTTTTGCAAGCTTTCATGACCCCCAATGCTGTACTGCCTCAGCCCGAACCAGATTCAGACGTTTTGTCTCGAAAAATTCAACTTCAGTGTATTCGTTCCAAATTTATCTAATTTTTTAATTTAGATTTCTTTGTTTATTGAATTATCGTACACTCTAAGTGTCGTTATACCCTGTGAAATCTATCTAATTATTTAAAGTATTAATAAGGGCTGAAAAGTTGCAATCAATTCAAAATTATTTTATAAGAAGGGAATAAATGTTTATTTAATACGAATGCACATTTCAAGAAATCAATTTTAATTTGATAAAAATGCGACTAAAAATTTTTTTTCATCCAAAGGAGTGGTTTTTAAAGGTTTTTCCGGGTTGAAAATTTGGGATACATTAAGTTTCATGTTAGATAGCACATGAAATTACTCATACTGCATAAATAAAAATGATTTGGTACATAAAACGCTTAAATTTGAATTTTTTCTTTATTTTCCAATAAGGGGTGGGTTTCACCCCTTAAGAACAAAAATCACACCTAGCGCATATATAAGTTTTGAAGTGGGGGGTAACATGAGACTAATTCTAAATTTTGAGAGCTATAGTAACTGGGCTAATTTTTGTAGATTCCAGACTAATTTCCACTTTTGCGCCATTAGAAATTGTCGTCCCTCTATTGGTATTTGGTAACGTGGAAGTGCTTGTAGCTTTGTTGGTTTACACTTTTTATTTATCTTCAATTCGATTTCAACTTGTACGTTAGAGAAATCTGCCAGAAAAATATCAGATTTTTCTCTCTTACAAGTCGGAATTATATTTTCCCAACTTGTAACTTAAAAATTTCTCTTTGTAAGTTAGCAAAAGAAAAAGACAACTATGACTCAAATTTATTTATTTTTTCCTTTCTCTATGTTTATAAATACAGTCTAATATCGATGGCAATCGTGGCGGCACAGAACGCATACATTCGTCCTAAACTGAACAACGAAAGCACCTTCGAGATAGAAAACTGCAGGCACCTTCTTATGGAACACATGATTGTCCAGTTCCAGCAGAACAGCTTCTACTCCGGTGGTAAGCATAGCCGCATGAAGATCATCACGGGCCCAAATGGCAGCGGGAAGACCATGTACCTTAAGCAGATCGCCTTGATTGTTTTTTTGGCCCATGTCGGGTCGTACTTGCCGGCTAAAAACGCTAACATCGGCCTCGTGCACAGTATTCACTCTAGGATGCAGGCCACTGAGTCTGCCGCTGTTAGATTATCAGCGTTTATGATCGACGTTAGCCAGGTGAAGGAATTAATGGAAATAGTCATCCTTAATCAACAGCACTGTTTCTAGTGCAACCAAATTACACTTGGAAAAAAAATTGTTACCTGGACTTTTATAAGTGGAAATGGTAAAAGGGCTTATAATAAACGAAAAAAAATAAATGCGTGAGGAGGGATGGTTGAGGGTTGATTTGGGGGGTTGAAAAGTTATGAAAAATTGTATCATTGGGATTTCTGGCGAAAGTTGACGTCAAACAAAAAAGTACCTAATACAGGAGTTGTAGATGATGCAAAAATCTACAACTTTTGTAGAGGTCACTTTTTAAGATAATATCAAAATTTCCGAGAAAATTCGAAAAACTGTTTTNTTCAGCAATACAAAGTATTAACAGCAGAGTCTACTGTTGACGCGAAATCCGAAAACCCGAAATTTTGCAAAATTGTTTAATTTTTTTTCTGGCTATTTGAAAACGAATTTTAAATAAATTGCATATTTACATTGCCACTTTTTTCACTCTATCCAATGGCGTCAATATTTTTACAATCCGATGTTTCGTATTCGACGGGCCATCATCAGATTAATTTTTTTAAATATATCGCTGCTATTTTTATGACAAAATCTAGTCATTTTTAATTCTGTATTAGATGATATTACTACTGTAATCGCTTAAAAAGGTTTTCAGCTATCATTAAAATTTTTTCCTGAGTACGGCTCTGAACGCTTTCAAATTACCTGTATCTATTGGAGGAGAGAGAGAGAGAGAGAGAGAGGAGATAATAAAAGTCAATACAGCACAAAATATCCAACAATTTTTTTAATCCATAATTTAAAATGTACCTAATAAAAAAATAATACGAATTTATGAAATATTTTATTAGTTCTAATTAGTATTGCTAACAGTAGTAAAAAATTGTTGGATATTTTGTGCGGTATTGACTTTTATACTGTTATGAGTTCATCCAATAGATATTTTGAAAGCATCCAGGAAAAATTTTAACTTATAGCTAAAACAAGCTAAAAACTTTTTACTTTACTTTACAATAGTAGTTAGAAGTTTACTTTTACTTTACAATAGTAGTATCCTCTAATTCAAAATTAAAAATGACTAGATTTTGTCGTAAAAATAGCAGCGACTATTTAAAAAAATTAACCCCACGATGGCCCCTCGAAGACGAAACGTCGGATTGCAAAAATGTTGCGCCATTGTATAGAGCGAAAAAAGTGGCATTGTAAATACGTAATTTATTTTAAAATTCATTCTCAAATAAAGCCAGAAAAAATTAAACAATTTCGGGTTTTTCTGGAATTTTAAAACTTTCTAAACAGCATATTGTTAGGTATAAAAAAACACAACTTTTTTCTAGTCTGAGCCACCCCGTATCTTTTACCGTTTCCAGATCCTAATGCTATCCCATCCTTATCTTGGACACACTGTATATTTATGAATTCATCAAACTTTAAAAAAAAAGTACACTAATCGATCCTACGGAAAAAAAATTATTATTTATTTTATTTATTCACTATTCGACTTATGTTTATAGCAATACTGTATAAAAATAGTTTTGGGTCAAACAATGAGAGTTTTTTTTTAATTTTTTTCCGTAGAATTGAATGGTGTGAATCAGTTTTTGAATGTTTTTTAATTTAAACAAATTATCAACAATAACTGAAAAATTTATTGTTGCAAGTCATTTTTTACTTTTTTGCATTTTTGAGCATGTTTTCGAGCTGCGATTACAAATTTTTTTATTTCACCAAAAAGTATACGTCAAAACGAAAAAAATTATTACCAGTAGAATTCTGTACGATGATTTTTCTAAGTAGAATTTTTCTTTGAAAAAAAGTGTTTCAGGCCGAAAAAAATTAATGTCTCAGAAACTTCTTGATTTTTTTATCTAAAAAAATTTGAGGTTATTTAAGATAGAGAAACGTACCTATACTTTCACCAAGATTTGTCAAAATTAAATTATTTTTGCGGAAATGAGAAATAAAAAACAAAAAATCAGAAAAAAACCTGTTTTTCGCATTTTTCTCGGAAATTTTGAAATTATCTTAAAAAGTGACCTCTACAAAAATTGTAGATTTTTGCATGATCTACAACTTTTATATTGGATAATTTTTTGTTTGACATCAACTTTTGGCAGAATTCCCAATGGTACAATTTTTCATAACTTTTCAACCCCCCAAATCCACCCTCCGCCGCCCCTGCTCACGCATTTATTTTTTTTTCGTTTATCATAAGCCTCTTTATCATTTCCACGTATGAAAGTCCAGGTAAAAATTTTCTTTTTTTTTTTTCCCTCTAAATGAGTTATTTTGATCGGTCTATTCTGTAAAAATAGGACTTTAATAATGTTTCTTTAGATAACCCAAGCTTTGAATACAGCAAGGTCTTCGTCTCTCATTTTGATGGACGAATTCGGCAGGGGAACCGCGGAAGAGGAGGGTATTTCTCTTCTCGTGGGGGCGATGAAAAAATTTCTGGAAAGGAAAGAGGCTTGTCCCCATGTGGTGGTGTCGACTCATTTTCAGCAAATCGTTAGCCATATGCCTGAGACGAGTTTAGTGCAGTATCTGAAGATGGACCACGCCAAGGAAGAGAAGAATTTGTGCTTTTTGTACAAAGTAACGGAAGGTAAGTTGGAGGAAAATATACAGGGTGTGCCATTTAACACTTCCGCTGCCGATATCTCTGAAATGAGGAAGTTTATTTTAGTTCCGGAACTGGGGTTGTTAGGTCCCTCGAATAGCTTCAAATTGTAGTTAAAACTGTTAGTTCTAATCTTTCTGTATAGATGGCGTGGTGTTACTAAAATATTTTTTGTAGTAGAAGTAAATATTGGGAAAAACTTTATATTACAAGAATTACTAAAAATTTAACAAGCTTTTAGATGGACTGCATTTCCACATTCTAGGGATCAAAAATTTTTTTAGTATCGCCATGCCATCTATACAGACAGATTTGAACTAACAGGTCTAACTGTAATTTGAAGCTATTTGAGGGACATAATGACCCCAATTTTCGGAACTAAAATAAAATTCTTCGTTTCGGAGATAT